CAATCAATCCATCAAAATCTACACAAATCCAATTGAAAACCCACCTGAAAACCCCCTAAAATCATTTCTAAAGAGAACATTTATACAATCTATGAGTGCATGAGATTCTGTTTGTGCGTAAGTGATGACAGCCAACCTTGTCGGGAACTGTGGTTCCTGAAAGAGGCGCGCTTGAAGGTTTAGCATGAACATCCAAAGCAATATTTCCGATAATCACAGGCTCAATTTCCATCGCCATTGGAGATCATCTTCTTAAGTTCCAAAATCCTCGCTGGTTTTACAAAGATTCGGCTGACACGACCGATACCGATGGGCGATGATCTTGTATCTGTGTTACGTTCAAGTCATTTTTTGCTTCATTCGGCCCATTAAAGCCCAAATCGATCACCTATTTGTGAAAAAAATGAAAATATCTCAATCATATCCGAATAATTAGGGAGCTAAAATTTGTTTTAAAATCGTAATATATAAACTTATGTGATAAATAAAACGCGGATTTATTTGAATTTCATATTTTGATTTTTGTTCGATGTGGATTCTTTTGAATAAATCTTGATTCCGTTTTTAGTAAACAAGGAATTTATTTTATAACAATTTGTTTCATTCAGTTTAATTATTTTCATATTTGATTTAGATTTAGTCCGAATTTAGTTAATTGATTTTAAAAATGTCATGCACATCAATTTTAAAATTGAAATTATTTCAAATATATATGATTTAGTTTAATTTAATTTTTGCATACCCTTACCAAATCAATAGACATCTCTAGTAGTCACTCATAAAAATAAAAATATTTAGTTGTCTTGAATTCTTCTTTTAAAAGGAAAATTTAATTCTAATGGTTCACTTTCACTTGAAAGATGTTTTGAATTTTAAGAACTATTCTTTTGGTCACGGATTAAATTTATTTAATTTATAAGACCTAAATTATGTTAAGATACTGCATATGTGCTTTTCCTATGCGAAAAGTTAAGAAATGCTTTAGCGTATTTGAATTTTGAATAGGCTAAAATCCAAATACTCTTAATTTTTTTAGTTTAAGACCAGGTATTTCGGGTTTCAGTTCATATTTGGATTGATATTGTTAGGTTCTGATTTATTTAATTTTAAAATTTTAAATCCATTTGAGTAATACATAGGTTTTGATTCACTTTGATTTCTATTTGAAAATTATAATATTCATTCTCTTAAAGAGTGTTTGTTTTCATTATTTTTTACTTTTATATTCCATTCAAATTGGATTAATTTAATTAAAAGTAATATAACATAAGTTTGTAATTCGAATTCACCTTATTTTAAGTGATCGTCTTAATTAAACAACCATCAATCTAAGTCTTTTAAATTTTTCTGCAAAATAGAATTTTGATATGATAATTAATAGCCTTATAGGTAAATCACCCTTTCAATTTAAAATAAACTTGCATGGATTAGCAACTCCATATATAATTATGTGTAACATTCTTCAAGAGACAATATATATATATACGATCTCAAATTCTACTATACCTTACCAAATTCATTCAAATCAATATTATCGTTCTGTCTACTTAGACATTAGAACCTAAAAATCAATGGGCTACTATTAAAATGCCCTCAAGGCCTATTAAATATGAATTCTCGAGCAGATTTTTTTTTTTTTGGTTGAATGTGAAGTGGTATTAATACGTGAGGTTCAAAATAATTACAAAAAATTCTCATTATTTGGGTAATCCATTGAGCAATCCAAGATAAAAATGTCCCATGTGTAAGTGGTCAAAATACTTGGCAGTCAGATGCCTCTTTCCCGTGCTTGTTGTGTGTTATTGTCCTCCGTCAAGAAATACCAATATTCTAGCAGCATATTGTTAGCTGATCCGACCATGCCCTTCACTGATAAGAGATTGGTTCTCAAGTTGTCTAGCTGCTGTCGGAGAACGTGTGTCGTCTTGTGATCATTCCAAAAATTGCGGTTGTTTCGTTCGCTCCACAGCAAGTATGCTGTGGCATGAAGGATCAGTTTGCAAATGATCGTCCTACTCTTTTTATCGTCATTTCCAGGTGGCTCGATCCAGTTATAGAACAACAAAGTTTTGAAATAGGACGAGGCATATCTCAATGTGCTAATTAAAAGGGTTATTGGAATTAGAATATGATTTCACAACTTCGTGTTTACAACAGACTAAATTTACGGATCCTACATTACATATTGTTAGAGAATAGAGTAAATAGCATATACATATTGTTGCAGACACAGACCATGGAAGGGCATTATATCAAAAATACCCTTAATTTGCTATTTCTACTTCAAGACCTACCCTGGTCACATGTGACCAATGTGACCGAAATATAGTATGGTCACATTTTGATTTTTATCGATTATAACGTTAAATTTATGGTGATCACACTAATTCATTATGTTCATACCTTGTATATCTTACTAATCATTTGATTAAAACATCATAAATTTAACGTTATGAACAATGGGATCAATATGTGACCACACTATATTTCGGTCACATTGGTCACATGGTCACAAGGGTAGGGCTTGAAGTACATATAGCAAATTAAGGGTATTTTTGATAATGCCCCCCATGGAAGTCTTGACACGGCTGCTGGACAAAGCGGCGATTCAGGGATCTCTAGAGGTCCATCACAGATGCAAGTCTCCATTGTTGACTCACTTAGCCTTTGCCGACGATCTAATGATATTTTCGAAGGGTACCTTCTCCTCCCTTCTGGAAATTAAAAGAGTGTTGGATGAGTTCAGAGCGATATCAGGTCTGTCCATGAATAGTAACAAAACCGAGCTTTTCCTCGGAGGCGTACCCGTCTCGGAGCAAATTCGAATCTCTGATACCTTAGGCATCAAGTTGGGAAACCTTCCGGTGAAATACCTTGGTGTCCCTCTGAATCCAACGAGGTTGTCCCTTTCTGCATATTTACCTCTCATTGATAAAATTCGCGGGAAGCTCAAGAACTGTCGACTAGGGAAAGTTTTGTTGGTAAGCTCTATAATTTATGGAATGGTGAGCTATTGGAGTATTGTATTCTTGCTCCCAAAATCTATTCTAAAGGAAATTGATTCTCTATGCTCGACATTTATATGGAACAGCGCGGGGACTAAAGGCTCAGGCCACAGAATCGCTTGGAACGCTATATGTAAGCCTAAAAATGAGGGGGGACTTGGTCTGCGTAGACTAGAGGAGCAAAATAGCGTCTTCCGTCTGAAACTTATTTGGTTATTGCTTAGTCAGTCGGGATCCATCTGGGTAGCTTGGGTTCGTGAAAATGTTTTCAAGAACCGCAGTTTCTGGGATTGCACAAAGACATCGGTGGCTTCATGGAATCTAAAGAAACTCCTGCAGATGAAGGATCAAGTGCGACCCTTTATCAAAAATCAGATTGGGGATGGAACAGAAACTTTTTTCTGGTTCGACAAATGGCTAAACTTGGGACCTCTCATTGACGCCATCGGGGATTTGGGCCCTCGCCTTCTTGGGTTGCATTGTTCATCTAAGGTATGTGCTGCTGTCTGCGAAAATGGCTGGAAACTCCCTAGTGCTAGAACATGTCTGATCCAGGAACTACAAGAGGCATTGGCTGCAATAGAACCACCGAGGCTTGACAGTGGGCCAGACACTGTGTTGTGGAAGCATAAGGATGACGACTTCCGACCATTCTTCAGCTCGAAAGTAACATGGCAACAAATCAGGAGCCGAGCCCCGCCAGTTTCTTGGCATTCATTTGTGTGGTTTTCTGAAGCTGTACCTCGCCATGCTTTTCTAATGTGGCAGGCTATTCAGGGTCGTCTACCGACCTTAGATCGGCAACAATCTTGGGGGATTCAGCTACCAAATAGATGCATCCTATGCTGCGCAGCGACTGAGAGTCATTCACATATTTTCTTCTCTTGTTCCTTCAGCAAGGAGATATGGGAATCGTTCGCTGCGTGTTTCAACTTCGTGCCTCCCTCACACTTGCAGACGAACTCTCAACAGGCCGTATCTTCAAGTGCTGATAGGACTTCTAGATCGTTGATAACGCAGAAGATCTTAATGCAACTGATAGCTTACGAGCTGTGGCGGGAACGTAACCAAAGAACTCACCACAACTCGGCAAGAACAACCCAACAGTTCATTGCCTTCATTGACAAATCGATGCGTGACACTCTATTCTCCCTGAAGTCTCCGGCAAATTTCTCCGGCAACTTGATTCTCCAGAATTGGTATGCGGATATTTTATAGCCTCTTGGTTGTGCTCAGTTTAATGGCTGTTGTATTTACCTTTTTGTGTTCATGGGAATCTTGGACTGTCTTTTTGTAATCTGTCAAATGACAGCTTGTAAATAGCCGACAGTCGGCTGGATATTTAATAGAACATTCACATTTAACAAAAAAAAAAGAATCGGTTTATATATTTTTTTTATATTAGAGAACTGGATTCTCTATGCTTGGTATGATCCTACAACAAGTCTCCGATAATATTTTATTTAAATTTCTATCTACAATATATTATGGTAGACATTTTGATTTTTGATTTGAGTTCGGTAATATGCAGATTCGATTTTTTTTTTATTTAGAAAAATTACACTGTTTGGTTTTTATATAAAATCCGGTTCAGTTTGGTTTTTTAGTTCGTGTTTCTTTCAATTTCAGTTTTTATTAATAAAAATACTAATTTTTTAAAAGAAAAATTTTTCTTTCTATTATTCTTCGGTTTTAGAAAAATTATAACCGGTTTTATATCGAATTTGATTTGTTTATCGTTATGGTATGTGTTATTTGATTCCAATAATTTTCAAACTATTATATTATTAACCAAATTGGCAACCTGCATGCAGTGCAAATTTCGTTAATTATACTCCAAAAACGATGCAAAATTTTGTTTTTTTTTTAAAAAAAAAGACGAACCTCAAAGATCATATATATTCATGTAATTTCATCAAACCAAAATGACAAATTCCCTCTCAAACCTGACGGCAATGATCTTACTAAACTTCTCCGGAAATGGAGAGAAACCACTCAACGATCAAAGAGATCACATGGCTTGAGCATTTTGCAAAGACCAAGATATGTGAGATAAAGAACACGATCCTTGGCGCCAGTACGATGATTGTTGGAGTGTTTGCAGAAATATTTGAGCTGCTCTAATGTACAGTAACCCAGATTTCTACCCAGGAGCAAGAACAGCCAATTGATCTTCCTTTTCCGATCACTGATCACTGGCTTCACCCCCTTTTCCCTCTCGCAGAACTCGCATCTCATCGCTACTGGGTTCATCCATATCGTCGGAGCTCTCTCCCTCAAGCTCTCCTTGTTCTCTTCGATGAATTTCTCTACTTCTGCGAACTTTTCCTTCAGATCGTAGCTGATTTGCCAAATCTTCTCGCAGTGTTTGCACTGTACGTCTCCAGTTATGGCTGTTATCTGCTTTGATTCGAGGTACTCTAAGCTGTGAATCCTCCCTCGTTGATTTGTTGCCCACGGGTACGGCGGCGGTACCGTCGCTAACTTTGCAGTCGCCGGCGGGACTGTGGGAGTACGGCGAGGCTCTCCAGCGGAGTTATTCACCGGATCCCGCGAGTGGACGAAATCTGACCGGAAATCATGTCGTGGAGAGACAAAATCAGCCTCTAACGGCGGCGGGGGCGGGGGCGGAGGTAGAGGAGGGAGGATGAACGTGATCGGTTGTGATGACGTCATTAGGAGGCGTGAAGAAGCCATCGGCTGTGGCTGCGATGGCGTCATCGACGGAGGAGGACCTAAGCTCAACGCAAGAGAGAGAAACAGCTCGTCATCGCCGGTTTGAATTTCACCGTCAGAGTTTGTGCCGTCAGTTCTCCGGCGATTTATCGGGCGACTATTCTGGTAGATCTGTTGGTCTTCTACGGAACCTCTCCTCCTCCGATTGAATCCGACAGCTCCATTACCAGACTGATCCATGTTTTACAAGAGAGAGAAGAAGAAGAAGAAAAGGAAAATTACAGAAATGGTGAGAAAAGTTAGGGTTTAGGTTTCAAGAAGAAAACGAGAAAAGGACAAAGACGTCAATGTTTCTTCGGCTTTTTGCTTCGTCATTGTCTCTTACTGTAAGGGGAGCAAGAAAAAGACGGAAACGTACGAGCACGTACAGAGGATCACAAGAAAACAATGGAGGAAGAGAAGACTGTAATGGAGAACAACCGTCTGGTTTTACTGTTTGGCAGGCGAGAAAAATACGGGAAACTGCGAGAAAACACCGGGGAAAAAAATAAGTGAAATCTACAACAAAGCGAAGATTTGAATCGGGAGAATCTTTTTGTTACTTCCCTCTCCGGAATCCGCTAGACTCTTGTCTACAAGAGTGGTTTTACTGGCATTGTTTCCGTATCGAAGCGAAAGAGGGCGAGAGAAAACACGAGAAAGTTAGGGTTTCTTGGAAATGCGAAGGAGGGTTTTCTGTTTTTCAAAAAAAAAGAGGAGAAAAAAAAATAGGTGTTCGAATCGGGACAAAGAGGAGTATGTACGGTACGGTGGACAATGGACATGTGAAACAGAAAAGAGAATATTTATTAAAAAAAAAACCTATATTTATATGATTTGCTATTTCTCCCTCAAAACAAATTTTGTTGTCCCTTTTTTCTTTGCAAATCAAACCAAATAAGATATCATCTTATCCGAACTAAACTCTCGATTTTCAGATCAAATGAATCTGAACTTTTTAAAATCAAGTTAACTGAATATAAAAATAAATAAAACAAAAATCTGATCTTTAGGAGTGTTTATGGTTTTTACGGAATCAAAATAACCAATCAAAAGATAATAAAACTGACAAATTAACGATAATCAATCTGGCAATTTCGAAATATATTTTTTAGCATAACACAAACAATAAAAATGCAATGGTGCAGAGCGCATTTGAAATATATATAAATGATCTCTCTCTCTTTTTCTCTCTCTCTCTCCGTGTATAAGTGTATATATTCCATTACATGGTTATAAAAGACCAATTGAATATGTTTTCCATGAATACTGATTGTAAAAAGAAGTCTCCGGTCAAATGACACATAATATTATCACAAACCAAAATCTTAGTTCTGTTTTACAATGTAGTCCACGTAATGGCCCAAATTAGAGTTTGCCGTGGCCCAAATGAGAATCCATATATCAAAAACTTAAATGACCCATCAACACTATCATCACATATAAAACTCAAATGACCAGCCCTCTGATCCCTTCACTGAAAAAAGAATAAAACTATAAAAGTTCAGAATGATTTTCTCAGTATTTGTTTTAAATAAACCAAATTAAATTGAAGTAACAATAAGGATCATTTCACAAGTCATAGGGCATATATACATCGATACATATATATACTACTAAACCTTATCTCGATCAATACCCGGAAGAACACACTCATCAGTACACATATCTGTCACATATATATATTTTTTAAATAACGTTACCAAGGCACACAAAAAAAAAAAAGAGAGCCAAAACCAAATCTAGAAAGACTCCCCCTCTTTATCTTTTGAAAATTACAAAACCGGACCCAAAGTCCTGAATTTCACACTGCAACCCACACAATGTTATCAAGTGGGAAGAAATGGCAAACCGGTGCGGACCTAGGCTTCATCTTCAACACCTTAAACGCCACGTGGTCCTCGTCCCACGTCGATGTGTCCATGTGACAGACTGCGGGTCCCATGACCCGCTGCCCAAGTTCGGTCACCAGATCGACCTCGAAGACCCTACTCCCGCCCCTGTGGCCGTGGCAGTAGTACACGACGAAAGGGTATGGCATCCGGTGGCATCCCAACATCTTGACCCCGAGAAGCTCCTTAGGAGCCTCCTCGAATGTGTAGTTCCGCAGAGCGTAGGTTGCGTTTTCGGGCGAAATGACTCTCGTTGTCAAAACCCTTAGCCTCGTATCGTAACCTAACGTTTCTTTGACCAGATCCACCATGGATTCTAATGAGGTTGCGCAAAACTTGACCTCGCCTTCCATGGTTTTCGCGTCACAGTATCCTAACGTCTCCTTCATGGCTTTGCCCTGTGGAGATTCCCTGGAGATGGAGAAGTAATCGAGCAAGAACGGGAGGTTTCTTTTCGAAAAAGGAATCAGATCGGCTTCTTCTTTGGACAGAAGTGGGGGAAGGGTTCGGAGGTTGTTTTTGTAGAAGTAAACCGGCAGTGTCTTCGGTTTTTCGAGGTCATCAATGGTGAAATACATGTATAAAGAAGGGTCGTCGATTTCATCATCTTGCTCTTTGTTCAAAGACGTCAGCAAATGACCATCTTCTTCAGGTTCCTTTGTGGCTGTTGAAATCATTTTCCTCCCTACAGTTTCCTCTACGTACTGCATCCAAGAAAGGTAAACCCATCAACCGAACCGGATCTAAACCGATCGGTTTGGAGAAAATTTCCCAAAGATCAGAGCAAGACCGATCTACATAGCAAAAGAAAAAAAAAGATTTCCCAAATTTGTTTTAAAAGAAGGATCAGAAAGAAAATGTTTATTCAGGGCCGGACCACAAAACTTACGCAGTTTATAATCTTTGCCCGACGCAAGGAAAGACAAGAAAATGCTTTCGATTTGTAATACAACATACTTTTGTCTATTCATGAATATACATATATATATATATGTGCGTGTATAGGTTCAGATGGGAAACAACGTACCAGAGAAAGGAGAAGAGTGAGGAAGATGATACAGAGCCGAGGCGCAGCCGCCATGAATTACCACCTCGAGAGAGAAAATCTTCTCCGAGTTTTTTTTTCTTCTCCTCCTCCTGACCTTTTGTTTTTGGTTTTCTTTATCCCCTCTAAAAAGATGGGAGATAAAGACAAACGATTTAAGTAGTCTTAGATCACTAACAACACCTCATTGAATATATATATATATATATATATATATATATATATATGTATGCGTGTGTGTGGTTAATTATTTGGTCTATTGGATGCTGATTTCTCCGTTATTATATAGATGGGCAGACCATATCATGACGCGGTTTAAATAATTAAATATCTTTTTTTTGTTTTGTAATATTTCGTTACGGATGAAAAAGTCCATAGGCAATTTGAGATATTTAGATCATAAAATTGAAAAAAAAATAGTTATTTCTTATTCACCACATTAATATTATATATATACACACACACGAAATTTGATACGAAATTGTGGTTACTCTCTTAGAAATGTAAATCTTGTTTTCTGGTTAAAATATTCATATAAATGTCTTCAATTTCAAATTACTCCTGTATTCTTGTTAGAAACTTGATTCTATTAAAAAAAACATAGTGAAATAGGCAAAAATACATCAATTAAAAATTAGAGTACATAGCAATTGATTGGATAATCTAACTATAACACTGAAATAAAATAAAAATAGTTATTAAAATATTTATACGGTTTTCCTTATTTTTACACATTTAAAAGCTTATAATATGAAAATGGTCATTTTCACAAGTGTATGCTTGGTTGACAAAATGTGACAAATAGACCTTTGGGACTTCAAAAGGATATCCTAAAATGGACCTAATTGATATTTCATTGACCTAAATGTTTTAATGAAAACAATATGGCAATTCATAACTCCACTCCATATTGAATCGTTGACTTTCATATATCAAATTAAATTTTAAAAAAATATGAATACGGAAAAATGGTCAATAATATAAAAGAAGATTTTAGACTTACCAATCAAACAAAATCTGCGTTACTTTCAAGTGCAATATTTTAAAACGTCAATTTTTTTAAGATAGAGAGATTGACTTAATGCTCTCTTTGCTTATTAATATTTCGTATTTTGGCTTGATTTTTTGAATTTGAGGTTTTTAAAATTAGGGGTAATCACATAAAAATACCCGAACTTTTACAAAAATCCCAAATAAATAACCGAACTATAAAATTATCATATAAATACCTGAACTTTTCAAAACTCTCACATAAATACCCAGATTTTTAAATTTTTTTTAAATCAAACAAACGCAACTGCTGACTCAACACAAAAAACTGTTAACTCAGCAAAAAACTGATGACTCATCATTCAAAATATTACTAAATGTCCAAATATTCATCTACATGTATTTAAATTAATATATGCATATAAATTCATATATATATATATATACAAATATATATATAAATATATATATATATATATTAAAATAAAATTATTTATAATTAATAAAACACATATACACATAATTTTTAGTAATATATATACATAATATATATATTTAATTATAGTTATTTTTATGCATTATTATTATTTTTAATAATAAATTTAATTATAATTATTTTTATTGTAATATATATGCATTAATAATGATATATATATATATTGTAGTTATATGTATATGTGTTTTATTAATTATAAATAATTTTATTTTTAATATATATGTATTTGTATATATATATGTGAATTTATATGTATATATTAATTTAAATATATGTAGATGAATATTTAGATATTTAATAATATTTTTGAATGCTGAGTCAGCAGTTTTTTGCTGAGTCAGCAGTTTTTTTGTTGAGTGAGCAGTCGCGTTTGTTTGATTTGGAAAAAATTTAAAAATTTGGGTATTTATGTGGGAGTTTTGAAAAGTTCAGGTATTTATATGATAATTTTATAGTTCGGGTATTTATTTGAGATTTTTGTAAAAGTTCGGGTATTTTTATGCGATTACCCCTTAAAATTAATAATCTTTATTAAAGAATATATTTAAAATTTTACATAATAATATACTGTGAAAAAGTATTATTTTTTATGGGGAAAAAGTAGATTTTATTGGCATTTTATGTTTTATGGGGGTATTATAAAAAATACTCTACTTTACTATATAAACTTTAGACTATAACGTTCTGCATTTTTTTTTTGTGATCAATATGACAATCGTAATATGTTTTAGGATCATACTGTTAAAATTATATAGTGGTCATAGTGGCTAGTTTACATTTATATGGAAATTACATTGGTTATATTAATCATATAAAAATAGATTAAAAAAAGGTATGATTCGAAGTTCATTTAGCAAAATATTGATAGTTTTGATATAATAGCGTTTTATTACCTACGCTAATCGAGTTAAAAAGAATTTAAATGAATGAAGATAATACTATTCCTAACTGGACATCAACTCAGTGGACATTAATGATATTTATTATTAACACATGATGGAGAGATCTAAGTTGACTTTGGCATATAAAGAAATGACCGTTCCTATTCCAACTAGATATTACACAAACCAAAGATTATTAAACAACAATAAATTTTTAAAATTTAATTGTATAACCCTTAGATATGCATGCAATGACTAATGATATGATTAACCATTTAATTAGGGTGCTGAAATAACCAATACATGTTGATTTAGTATCTAACAAAGTATTTGATTTATTATTCTCATCTAAGGATTTTACTAATGCTTTTGGAATCATCCATCATATTTCAATAGAAAAATATCTTATACCTAATTAGCATTTGTAATTTTAGTATAAAAAATATCTATATTGATTAAAATTTATGCTTTGTACTATTTCAAATTTTTAATTTTTTTGCCATTATAAAGTTTAGTTTTCACTTGTATTTTATTTAATAATATTCGTTTTCTAAAACTTTACAAGGAATAGCGCCCATCACCATCCTAAAAGAAATTGTTCCATTTGTTCTTATCCAAATATAAATTTTATTAAAATCTTATTTTTCAAGCCATACTATACTTTAAGTGCTATAAACCTCATAAATCATAAAATTGCGATCACTAGCCATTTTTATTTTTATGTTAATAAAATTTTTTAATATAAAAGCCGAAAGATATTATGACTTCCTGAAAATAAATAAAGAAAAAATTCCTAATTTTAAAAATCGGAAATATGGCAGTGTTAGCAGAAATGTTTTTGGTAAGATAATGCTTTGATATCACCTTGAATACAATAACAATATCGCTTATCCCAAGTTTAAATATATTTGCAAAAAGATCTAAATTTCCTTATATATATATATTCTCTTTCTTTAGTGTAATGACCTTAGACCGGTACGAAATATCAAAGTTGTCCCTACACAACAACACGTGATCTTTTAGCATGTTTTATTCTCATTCGCACGCATATCGAAAAGTACTTCCCAGAAGGTTATACATCCTAAAACTACTCCAACTTAGGAATTCTCTTGAGATAGACAACCGAAAAGGTAGATCCATCTTGTTGTTATGAGTAGCTCAATCAATTCATTTTAAGTTATATATGACGGTGTAATCCCATACCTACACAGCCCTCGGATCCCTCTCATTTTGGTGCTTCGATTCATTCATGTACTCCCTACCCAGAAGTTCGTCAGGAGCCGCTCCTTGTTTATGCCTGATAATACTTATTTGTGTGATGTTTTGATATAGGATGTCTAGCGTATTTCACTCGGTTTTACATATTTGTAGATATTCTATGACATATTTGGTTTCGATATTGATTGGTTGAATTTTTGGTGTTTAAACAGGAATCCACGCATAAAAGAGAGCAAAAGAAGTGAAAAACATGGACTACAGAACATCATGGACGGAACGAGAACATTTAGAGTTGTTTCGGGAAAAGCGTGAAGCTCGAAGAAATCAGGTCTTGCATGTCCAATAACTTTCACTATACGAATCCAAATACATTCTCTATATCATTGGAAAGCTCTCTTCAATATCTACGCATGGACACCCTACCCAAATCCGATATCGGAGTAGAAAGTTATGAGCGAATTTGTGAAGCCCGTCAAAACTGCGAAGTGACACGATCGGGTCACTCACCAGATTTTGGAAATATTCCGAATTTTGGTCCATAAAAAGAGGAAATAAATATGGTTAGCCTCCAGGTTGAAATTCATTAAGACTTTTATAGAAAATAGACCTAGAACACACAAAAGGGAGAGATTATCAGGAAGCAAGAGATCAGAATAGAAGACGAAGATCACGAAGCCGAGAAATCGACTAAGAGTTTCTTCCCTATTATATTTTACGATATTTTGTTGTATTGATATGAATCATGTCGTCTCGATGTTTAGCGAGTAGTTCCATATGTTAAAGATTTGCTATATAGGAATCTTTGGTTCTTAATTTCAGACTATGTGGTATTATTTATTTGATTCAGTTTATTGAATTGTTCTTAATGCGTTTGATCTTGTTGACCACATGATTGAATGAACTTAGAGTTTTAATTCACATAGATATATGAGATTCTATCTGGTAACTCGGTAAATAGAACATGTAAAATTGCATCAAGGGATGAATATTTTTGCCTAGGGATTATGATAGCGTTCGTTCATACATCCAGGGTTTAGATTATTCAATCGAGAGATTAATAAGATAAAACCTGGGTACTGAGATTAGACTTGATAGAGTTAATTTCTATCTTAGAGCTTGAATTTCCTGAATTATATTTAGAAACCACAGAATCTGCGACCCTTGCATGTAAAGCAATTCCAAAACCTACAGTATTTGCCATTGTTTGTTTACAACCGTTTTAGTTAATTGCTTTATTCTTGATATTCTGTACTCACACCGATATTATTTTCTCTGGATTTAGACTTGGATTTGGATTTGATTTCTTTGTCTACTTTTGTCCCTGTGTTCGACCCTAGCTACTACACACGACTCGTACACTTGCGGTATTTGTTGGGTCTAGAATATTATTACTTGATCGAGTTTTGTAACATCAAGTTTTGGTACGACACGACACGATCGTGTCTCATCCCTGATCCATAACTGAAAGATACACTCGGTTGACCAGATCGTGTCTACTGCGCGACACGATCGTGTCTCAGTACTGATCTGAAACTCAAATTTCCATATTACCGACCCGATCATGTCAGCCATTCCC